TCCTCACTAATATGCAAATAAGTATGCACTTACACCGTAAAGTTGCTACAATCTTGGTAGTAATTGTCCAATATTTTTTTATTAAAAAAATAATAATAAAAATTGTCCAATGCAACAACAACCCATTGCCCCGTTATTATGTTCAACAATTATTATTAGTGCGAGAAAGTTAGCCTTAAAAATATCAAAAGGTGTGGATGGCTATTTTTGAGATGGTATGTGATATTATGTCTTTCGTAATTTATATTAATTAAAAAATTAAGCCTTAAAAATATTAAGGTTTCACGCCATTGTATCATTGAGCTGGCACTGTGGGTTAATTTATAATAAAGGGATTATTTTTCAAAAGGGCATTTTTTAATGATTTGAATAGTGCAATTCTCAGATAGTTAATATACATATTTAAATTCTTTTATGATGAAATAACTATATAATTGCTTACATGATTAAATGCAAATATCTATTGAGTAATAACTATGATCTACATTTTGATTTTTTGAGTAGTTTATGAATATTTAATTTATAATTTTAAATTATTAAATTTATCTAATTTTACTTTGTTTTCCAAAATAGTTAAGATATTAAATGTCACTAGTGTTATAAATACATTGAATTAAGTGGATAGTCCATAAGGTTGGTACATGAACAACCATTCATATTCACTAGGTTACATGAACCTTTTTGGATAAGAATGTATCTATTTATTATGATACTTAATATGGTGAGCTTTGGAGTGATTTCTCACTCTATAAATAGGGTTGTTCATTCACTATTGTAACAGATACAGATGAGACACTTGAATAAGAAGAAAATTCCTCTTCTACTATCTACTTCTCTTGTCTTCTTCTCTTTATGATTATATTCTTATGAGTTTGATTTTATAACAACTAGTACTATTTGTAATTTTTCCCAAACCATTTAAAACCAAACACTCCAATTTTCAAACAGAGTGGAAAGGACGGGTATTTTTGATGTGTTTAATAGAGTAATTTCACACGCCAAGAAAATCAACTGCTTACTCAATACACGCACACACCTAACCAGAAAACCATCAATACAAGGAAACCAAAAGCCACAAAACGCACTTCTTCACACACACAAAAAAAAACGTATTTTCTCCGCTTCACCGATGGCTCAGGTTTCCATTTCGCTGCTTAATTTCCTCAACGACGGCGAAGACGATGTTATCGAACATGAAAACGGCGTCGTAGAGGACCTCGACTCTTCTCCTTACTGGCCTCTCAGTTTCGGTGACTTCGATGTTTACGATCCCTCAGATCTCTCCGATTTCCCTTCCCGTTCCCAAATCTCTTCGTATTCTCGTGGGAGGACTGGTTTGGCATTAAGCGACGATGTTTCAGAAACTGATTCGGTTGTCACCGTCATGGACCGCGAGAACCAAGTAAACTTTGTTATGGATATGTTTCAGCAACGGGTTGAGCAATCTCAATCTTTGATCCGTGTGGTTTCCAACCCTGATTTGCTGCATGCGGACCCGGTATTGGAGACCGATTTTGGTTTGATTGGAGGGAATGAGTTTACGGGAATGAGTAGCTTAGACGTTGATTTTGGGCTAGGGTTAGGTTTTCGTGGGGATTCTGATAATTCTGGGTTCCATATTGAAGATTGTGATGGCCCTGAACAGTTTGTCAGTGGGTTGAGGGTTGTGGATTATGAATCTGACTGGGACCCTGATGATAACTGCGTTTCAGGCAGATTGTTCAATCTGGAAGAAGTTGATGGCGAAGACGAAAATGAGAATATTTGCGACAATGAGAGTGATGACCCGAGTCTTCGGCTGTGTTGGGGTTCCTTTCAGTTGGAGGATCATAGGGATGTGAATGAGGACTTTGAGTGGGAAGAAATTGATGGAAGAGTTGATGAGAGAGAGATTCTAAGCATGTTCTTAGATGTTGAGGAGGTATCTGAATCTCCTGCTCCAGAGGATAGAGCAAGAGAGTTGGAAAATTTGGAGTGGGAGTTTCTGTTGAATGTTCAGAATTTGGAGCCAGACCCGGAAATTACAAATGATGAATTCGATTTCGGTCGTCATGTGGATCGAGACGATTACAATTACACTACTGAGTATGAGCTATTGTTTGGACAGTTTGCAGAGGGCGATCATGGTTTTCTTGGAAGACCACCAGCTTCCATGACTGTTGTTAGAGACCTTCCAACTGTGGCTGTGAGTAAAGGTGATTTAGAAAATAACAATGCTACTTGTGCTATCTGCAAGGATGAGTTGAATTTAGGAGAAAAGGTTAGACAGTTACCATGTGCTCATAGGTATCATGGTGACTGTATTCTGCCTTGGCTTGGGATTAGGAATACCTGCCCAGTTTGTCGGTACGAGTTGCCCACAGATGATCATGGCTATGAGAGGAGGAGAAGGGTCCAGACAATTCACACACTTGAACTTGATCAAGTTGATTGAAGGTATATTTTTTGCATTTATGTAGAAGGTATATCAAGCCTGGGAGCACTCGACCTGCTCTTTGTTGATATGATGTTGGAAGTTCTTTTTGGTTTTGGTTTTCTTGAATTAAGATTGTTAATATACTAGATGATTTTGATGTCAGACCTATGTGGATGTCTTATTGCCTTTGAAACTCTACATATGATGCAAGTTCCGAAAAAGAAGGCATTGTTATTAATTTGAAGATTAACTTTACACCTTATAGATTGTATAAAGCTCATAGATATTAACTTTACATATGAAGCAAGTTCAGGGAAAGAAGGAATTGTCTTTGTAATTTGATTTTTCGTTGTAAGATTAGCTTTACACCTTATAGATTGTATAAAGCTCATAGGTATTAAGACTCATTGATATGCATCAATCAGTCTCTGTAGCTCTTATGTTTGAACCATGAAGAAATACTTTCTTCGGAGGGAAATAGCCCCTAAAAAACATTTTGTCTGCTTGATGATCCAACTTAACTAATGACCTGATAGACACCCACCCCTCTTTGACAAGAGTATGTCAGATGAGCACCTCATACCTCATGTTGACATAGAAAATAGTGTTTAAACTTACATTTGAGCGTGTGAAAAGCTATACTTTTGATTTCTCTTCTAAAAAATCTTCCTCCATTTCTCTAAAATTTTCTTGTGACAAAAAGAATAGAAGAGAAAAAACTAAGAAGTGATAGGCTAGCGCCATTAGATGCGTCTCAAGGAAACTCTTTTTCGGTGATGGTGAAGGTGATAGTACACTGTCTGGAAACAAAAGGAAAAAGAGATAAGATGCAAAGGGTGAGTATTTTTTTCTGCGCGGAGAATTTTCACCCAGATCCGTTTGGGTAATAGCGGTCACATACAAATTCGCTATCCAAATGATTCTAAATGGATTGAATTAAATACTTCCTATACTACCATCTATTTAGAATGTATATAAATGTTACAATGTAGAAATGTAAATAAACTCTAAATCTAAGAACACCAATAAATAAGCTACCAAATTCCAAAAAAAACAAACACCAATAAAAGATAGATAGATTGACACAAAATGGAACTAAGAACCCTCAATTAAGGAAATCCAAAACAAGCACCTTATCTTTTTAGATACCATCAAGATGGTGGGATAGAAAGGATTTCGTTCTTTGACACCTCATCAGGAAGTAGTTTTCATGCGTCTGTTTTTGCTGACCTATGTGTTTAAGAGATAGTTTTGTTGATTTGAAGTATCTGCTTGGTCACTTGTTAAGTTGGATTGTTTAACATGTAAATTGTCCCAAGTTTGAGGGGCTATCAAGGGTATTGGCTCTGTTCTCTCTTTCTACAGATGTTTAAGATGGGATATTCTTGCTTGTTTTGATGATGGATTCTCAGTTGTCTCTCAAGACAGGAATAGTTGGAAATTGAGGACCAATGAGTCATTGGTGGTGAAAATCCCTGCTTAAAATTGAGCACGAGTAAAATAGCAATCGATTTGGAAGACTAAAATCGGATACTTGTTAGGAAATTCAGATTTTTCCAAATATTTGAGAAGTCTTAATAGAAGCTAAGTGTGTTGGACCTGAGAGCATGTATGAGCAAGCTTGTGAATATATCATGATAGTTTCTGATCTGAGCATGTCAATTAATGAGGCTGTGGATGGCTACATAAGAATAAGTCTTGCACTAGTTCAATTTATGCATGTATTTTTGCTGTGTTTCTATTTAAAGCTGTGTTTGTATTTTGTAGATATCGGGATATCACGCCTATTTCGTTTATTCAGTTCCATGTACTATACTATGCTTTTATTACCACATTACTATTTGCTGCAAATCAATGATTTTTTGAATGTGATCTAAAGATTGTATGTCCTCATTGGTGCATGGAATTTAACTCTTTCCCTTTTCGGCACATTGTAGGTTTTGTTCATCGTTATAGTTTCAGTTGCTTCACAACTTGGCAGGGCAAAATCAGAGTTCTTGCTGGCACTGGAATGCTTGCAAATAGACCACCACCACCACCCAAATGCCAGGGAGGTTGGAGAGAAGCTCTATGGCATTTGCTTGGATAAGTTTTGTTCTGGAGCCAATGGTACATCATATCCCATATCACTGTTATGATACACAACCAGGAACTCTCAATTTGTTTATATTTGTAAGAGAGTGAATTCGTTAAATTACAGATCATGGGCAAATTTTAAATGGAGCTTGCTTGTTGTTGGCTAAAACGTCCATAAGTGCAGAATCTGTCTCGTCCAGTGAGATGTATTTTATTAATATAAGTTTGGCAACTTGTAAATTGTTCTTGAATTTGTAGTTTGATTGTTGAAAATCAATGATATGGAATAATACATGTTCAAATTGGTTGTTTAGCTTGTTTTTTTTTTGAAAAATATGAAGATCAACAAAAAGCTCATTTCCTTTATTTCCTACGTATGTAAGATGGTCCCCTTATATTTGTAAGAACATTTTTCTCTAGAAACACAAATTCTTTCAAAATGATCAAGTTAGCTTTAGGTTACTATTTTTGTTAAGTTATACACAAAAGCTTTTGAAGTAACACAAAATTAAGTAAAAAGCTCACTTATTTTCCCGAAAAACATTCTCCAATGTTTCCAAACCTCACTTGTATCATGAAAAACCAGAGCTCCGAATGCTATCTTTGTCCTTGCATACAACAACAATAATAACACCTACAACCATGCCCAATCCAAAGTAAGTTACTTACCTTTTTTTCACATATAGTTCTAGAAATTATACAAGTCGCTAGTTGATTTACTTGAAAATTTTCAGATTTAACCCTAGTCCAGGAGATTTCTACTGATCAAGAGGACGGTATCGATTGAAAGAAATTTCAAGATTGGGAAGGTTGATGCCCATTAGCAGTACTCTGGGATGGAGTTTCCATTGTAGAGACTGAGTCGCTACTGTTATCGTCATCAAAATTAGCAGGATCTGCGTAAGACTGGTACCCAGGAAACCTGACCAGAAAAGGAGATTTTGAGGCAACAACACAATACATAACATTTCAATTAACATGCTGTATATATACTTCATTTATGTGGTAAAAAAAAATTTACGCACCTACTTACTTTTACTTGCTCTCCATTTATACCCATTTTAACATCAAAGATGTTTCCTGCAAACAATTTTCATTGAAGTTGATTCATGTCAAAAAGTAAATCATGTTGCTACTTCCGGGATGGAAAACTATTCAATGGTTTCAACAGAAACAATTCATAGCAATCAATGCCACAACTGCAATTGACCTAAGAAATTCATAGGGATACAATTGCAACCCAACAATATACGACATAGTAATAACCTTTTCCTGATGCATGCGGAGTGATAATAGCCTCTTCTAACTCAAACGATGTAGCACATTCACGACTCATACCTATAGGAAAAAGGTTATCCAGACATGCCAGTTCTGAGTTTGCAATAACACATTTATAGATGTCACAGATAGGTTAGAGTTAGCTAATCAAAAAGAAGAGATTGATTCAGTAATCAAGTGAGAGATAAGCATTTGGTCTGCCTTAATTGTGGAAACATGATATCTCGAACAAAGATTACTACCTCTCAGTTAATCTGCTTATTGGTAATTCAAATATGCCGACTTTTACTTTTCTACTCCCACTCGTTGATTGTGTACACAGTCTAATCAGTGTCCCAGTAACTTGTAGCTCGGCTATGCTAAATAGCAGATGATAGGGAATGGCACAACTAAAGTAATCAAAAGATGTCCTGGTAAACCACTAGACTCTTCCAATGATTTCGCTTTATATTTTAAAGGAAAAAAACCTGTCATTGTTAAAAGCCCTTAAATTTTGTTTAGGTGAGTTTACACTAGTTGCTTCTCAAAATCACATGCATCAAAGGACACAAGGACATAATTGTGAAGCACTGCAATAAACATGCGAATCTCCATATCACATAAACTTAAAAGTGATACTTAGATTAGGCAATGGATGGTGGGGGAACCAATAGACCGATATATCTCTAAAACATGTTAATGTTCAAAGTAATATCGCTCAAATAAATGCAATTCAATGTAATAATCATAAAAATTCACTTGCAACAAGAAGAGAAAACAACCATGCTGATTTAATAATCAGAAAAATTGACCTTATTATAGTGCTTTCTCGGACTATTTACCTCCAAAAATAGTCTTGTCTGAAAAGTACTTGGACATTAAGTATCTCCTAGCCTCAACTTCATACCTCTTGAACTTCTCATCCTGTTCAGTCTCCATATCACTACATCACAGCATGGAAAGAAAATAGAGAGTTAGGACCTCCATCATGTTCAGATTACATTCATATAGATAGAGAACTTGAGCAGAACTTAAAAGAAGTGCTGTAGCAGGATAAATAGACTTGCTTTTGTCTTTTTTCCCTTTATCAGTACCATAGACTTAAGTTTTTTCTTTTTTTTTCCCATTTATTTGCCCTATAGACTTAAGATTAACCATCACGGCCAGCTAATAACTTGATAAAAGCATACCAAAAAATCCCTTAGATATGCTACCAGATCATGAAAAAGATAATGTTTTTATTGTTAAAAGGATGTCCAGCTAGGGATGGCCTAACATGAAAACTTATAATTTCTATACAATAATGGAGACACAACAAGTTGTTCTCAGGAACTCCTCACAAATAAAATATTTTAGTTTGATTAGCCATAGACATGAAAGACAAAATTGATATTACTATGGTTACGAGAAAACTGGGGTATAAAATAAAGGTAGATCTGGTTTTTGATGGGATTAAGATTTTGACCTTGAAGTAGTATCAATATTATAGAAATAATGAATACTGTATAAAGTATATTTCAATCAAAGGAAATTTTATTACCTCTAATGATACAACAATAATGGAAGTAAGATAATCTTTCTCCATACATAGTGAAAGATTATGAACTAGGAGATAGAAAAGCATTTTGTATCAATTTAATTCAAAAGCAGACTTTTGTAACAACCTTGGCTAGTTAGTAGTCCAAACTCCAAACCATGTGCTAATTTCCATCATTGCTCCCATTAACAGTTTCGGTTAAGTTTTTAAATAGCAGAAGACTCAAAGCAATATAAAGCAATCAACAATTCCATAAAAAATCCCACGTGGGAGGGGTTTCACATTCTTCTCCTATCAAAGCTTTTATTTCTTTGCCCTGCCTAATCCATAATATTCTCGAGCACTTGAATCTATACTTTTTGGTAAGCATGTTGAGACCCTCAACGTGACACCTGAATCCATCGATTGGTCAAGACACCTTGTTAGGTATAATTTAACTTTCAGAAAGCTTTAGCATAACTTTTCAAGTAGTGGAGAGCCTAAAGTCCTGTAAACATTTCAAATATGCTATACAAATTTAACATAAGATGATACCACTAACGTACAGGATTAGTGCGACTATTTTTACCTCTTTATCCCTGTACTACTAACAAACTGGTAGGCCCTGCAAATCTAGGCATGTGGAAATAATAATGCATAGTTATTCATTATTTGATTCATAAAAAATAGAAATATTTTTGAGCTTACTAATTTAGCTAAAGTGGATAATTCAAGATATTCTCTAATAAGCATGCACTTAACAGATGCCATTACAGAAAGCTGTTGCTATTTCAGTTAAATGCTGAAGTACTAATCTACTGCCATTAAATATTGAGCATGTATTCTGAGGATTCACCAAAAAATTGTAGTTTTTAACATCGAATTCACGTTGCACGTAGGACATTAACTTGGGAGCAGATAATAGAGTAGCCAACAGATTTTGTTTTTCAACTACTACCTTACAAGAGAATCAATTAAGCATCTTACTTTTTCGAATCTGGCTGTCGCACATGATGCCAGATAAGCTCTATGCTATCTTTACAAGAAGACCAACATAACTTCAGTTGGGCTCCAAATCAATCAAATTTATCCAACACCTTCCATAAAAACTAATCATTATTGAAAGCCTGTTATGATACATACCCTTTATCATCATACCTACCAGCTGAATCCAAACTTTCACGTCAATAATATTCTTGTTGTGCCCCATCTCTGTATCTTACCATCATTGGGCAATGTTTATAGGTGATAAGTAACTCACAAAAGAATGCCACATTATTATCAGCCATGAGTATATAAATGCCACATGACTATCAGCCATGAGTATATCTTATTTCCCATTTTACAACAACAATAAATACCCAATGTAATCCCACTTGTGGGGTTCGTGAAGGATACATAGTCTTACCCCTACCTAGTGAAGCAAGAGAGGCTGTTAAACAATTCTTTGTGAGTCTATTCATCCTTATATGAAGGAATTAACAACAAGAAATCTCTTAAATCCTGCCAATTGCATTTAGAACCATAAAATCACCAATTATACAATAAATTTAAAAATCAAACAGAAGGCCGAGCAGACACTTCAACCCCAATTATTATTTTTCAAATAAAAATAAATCACAAAGCAGTTATACAAGAAAGCCTAGACATATACTTACTCAAGAGGATCTTCAATCACTTCCTCCTTCTTCACAGCTTCAAGAACAGTGAGGTTTGAGACCTCCTACAGAAAAAAAAAAAGGTAACCCATAAAAAAGAGGGAAAAAATGAATGAACGGTTAAATTAGATAAGCGAGAGAAACCTGATGCGGTTGCGACGGAGGCGGAGGCCGGGGAGATTGAGGAGCAGAGGATATAGGGGAGTTCGACACAGAATTTGCCGCCGAAGAATCCATTTTACCTATGAAAGCTCCGCCAATTTTCAAATGCAGCTAAGCCAGAATTAAGGTTGAGTTATATAGTGGCATTTCAGATGCGTAGAGCTTAGAGGCACTTTGCGTTCTTAAATTCAGAAAGCATGGATAGGAAAAACCTCAAAATAATAGCAGTTACCAAGTAGCAACTAGCAAGACGATCGAGTGAAAGGCACCGCAAGATTTTTTTTTGACGACAAGAAGTATTAATTATAAATAAAAATAGTTCAAAATTAATTAAAAATAAAAATAAGATTGCACACGTGCCCTATTGAGTCTTTCATTTGAATGTATATTATTTATGATAATTTAGAAATATATTTATCCTTTTCCTTTTATTTATAACGATTTCTATAATGATCTTGATTCATTCTTTTTTATATGAGATTATCTTGTTTGGTTGAGTTTTCTTTAATGGGTTAACTATAACCAGATGTAAGAACATAATTATATTACATTATTTGACATATAAAGTCCTTGACTTAAATTTAATTTCATACTTTTATTTCTCAATCCTTTAGAGGTTTTGAAATTCTACTAGGCATTCATAGTATTTTTGAGCAAGATGCAATCTATCAACTCATTTTATTTGATTTGTTATCTTGTTTGTAAGTGATTTTCTATAACTTTTTTTGTGTGAAATTATAATGATTAAACCGATAATACTTCGGCTGACAGATAAAGTAGTATCACGAGAGAAGAGTGAATAAGACTTCCATGGAACTCTTGGTTCTTGGTATATCAACCTCGTCATTCTCATCTTATTTTGAGAAATGACTTGAGTTTCAGATGATTCTTTGAAAACTTAAATATCATCATGGAAGAATCATTCTTGAAATAAAGCACCCATTGCTAAGAAGGAATATCAAAACACAAGCCAAACTAGAGTATAAGTAATATGATATCACTAGATATATACATCCTAACGATTAGGGTGGCTAACAAAAACAGGTGAAATCGACTCATTTATGTACCCAGAGAAACCATCTTAGAAAAATGTGAGAGAGTGCCTCTCATTCCAACTCCTTGTGATAATCTCCTTAACGATCACTGCCATCACTAACTTAAAGCACATTGACGTAATTTGTGAACTTCTTTCCCCGAGGAAAGATTTCGAGTCATCAACGAGAAGAACGTGAGTCAAGTCATAAGTGATTCTAAACAGTTTGTTGTAGCTGCCTCGATTTTGTTCTTTATCCTCTACACTTAAATGCTGAAGCACCAAATCATCTCAGGTACTAACCAATTCATTTGTTTCCGTTTGGTCACATCAAACTTCACTAGAGCTTTTATGGCTTGGAAAACATATTGCCAACAGCAAAGTTATAGTTTTTTCCTCCTATTTCAATCTGACTGCAACCAATTTCTTTTTGCAAGCCTAATTCCTTCATCTTGTCCCTCACCTGTCTAACAGAGTCCCAGTCCCCATATCTAGCAAAAAAATTGGATACTAAAACATAGATTTCTGCTCTCTTTGGTTCCAATTCCAGTAACTTGTTAGCGCATTTCATCCCAAGATTTGACTGGGCGTGAACTATACATGAATTGAGCAACGAACACCAAATTTGAGAATCTGGCTGCATAGGCATCTCAGCCATGAGATTTAGGGCATCATCAAACTGTCCAGCACGAGCCAGCATGTCAATCACACATGCATAATGCTCCAATTCAGGTTTGAGACCATGCAATGTCTGCATCTCTTTAACATATTGCCGACCTTCTTCAATGAGCCCCGCATGGTTACATGCCATTAAAATAGAGACATATGTCAAGCTGGCTGGGATGAAGCCCGATTTCTGCATTTCCTGAAATAGCTCGATGGCCTCCATTCCAAGTCCATGAACTGCATATCCAGTAATCATAGCTGTCCATGATGCTATATCTTTGAGTGGAATATAGTCAAAAACATACTTGGACATTCCTAAGAATCCAGATTTTGCATACATGTCTATGATTGAGCAATGGACAAAACTATCCTCTATAAGGTTGGATTTCAGTGCAAAGCAATGAACTTCTTTCCCCAGCCTGACAGCAGACAATGTTGAACAAGCCCCTAAAACACTTGTCACAGAAATTTCATCAGGTTGAAATCTATGAGATACCATATCACGAAGCAGACAAAAGGCTTTATCTGGTAGTGCATTCTGCAAATAACCAGCTATCATTACGTTCCAGGATACCACATTTTTATCTTCTATCCTGTCAAACAGACGTTGTGCTAGCTCTGGTTTTCCACAAGTCATGTAGAATGAAACTAGGGAAACTAGTGTAGACATATCTGTTTCTAGACTATTTCTAAGTACAAAACCGTGAACTAGTGTACCACAATGTAGCAGTTTTAAGTGGGAACAAGCAAACAGAAGGCTACCAATAGTGAACCAGTCAGGACGCAAGCCAGACTTCATCATTTTAGAGGACAGAGTCAAAGCCTTAGATGGATCCTCATTCTGAGCATAGCCTCTTATCAGTGCATTCCAAGAGCTTACTGTCTTGTTCGCCACTCCGTGGAATACAAGCTCCGCATATCTGAGCAATCCACAGTTCGCATAGGCAGCTATAAAAGCATTTGTTAACAACTCATGGTATTCAAGACCATTTCTAAGCGAGTAGCCATGCAGTTCTTTCACTATCAACTGCTCTGACTCCTCTAGGCAAACGGACAAAACATTCAGTAGAGTAACCTCATTCGCCTTCATGTACTCCTCAGTACTTTGCATCCTTCTCATAAGATGAAATGTTCCTCTATCATCTCCTTCTCTTGAATAACCCCCGATAATGGAGTTCCAAGAGACCGCACTTTTGCTCTCATTTTTCTCAAACAGAATTTGTGCATCAGAAAGGTATCCAACTTTGCAATACATATCCACTAAAGAATTATTCACTGTTAACTCGTCAGATAATCCTAGCTTTACAGCTAAATCATGAATAATCTTCCCAAATTCCACTTCTTCTGCTGCTGCACAAATTGGCAGCATAATAACCATGGTAGTCGTGTCTGGAACAAGAACTTCATCCCCTGTAAATATATTTCTGAAAAGATCAAAACTTTGTTCAATATATCCATTCGCTGAGAACACAGAAATCATGGAGTTCCACGAAACCAGATTCCTCTCAGGCATATACTCAAACACTTTCATAGCTTCCTCAGCAAGACCAAACTTCCCATACATGGAAATTAACGCATTGCTTACAAAGACATCGCCAACCAAACCCATCTTTGATGCCATCCCATGAATAGCTTTCCCCATACCCACATCAAGAACCCCTCCACAAGCCTTGATAACCAAAGGAAAGGTAAAATTGTCTGGCTTTTCCTGGGTTGAAGTCATCAACTCAATAAACAAACAAATAACAGCAACCCAAAGTTCATTCTTTGTGTACCCACTCATAAGAACATTCCATTGGTACAGTTTCTTGCTTCGTAATTGATGGAAAACAGAGCGAGAATCAGAAGGATACCCACACATGGAGTACATCGTGATGAGCCGCGTACAGAGTATAACGTCATCTTTCGATCGGGTCAACGAAGTAACCATTTCATGGACTTTACGACCCGTTTCAATGTCCTTCTGTTTACCACATGCTTGTAAGAGTACGCCTAAGGCCTCGGATTTTTCCGACGAGTGGTAGAAGGCGTTTTCGAGGTATTCTTGAAATGTACGGAAAACTTCCGACAAACTTTTGGTTTCGCATAGTTGCGTGATCTCTTCGGATAGCGTTAATGGGTTCTTGAGCTGATTCTTCAAAGTTGATTTTGCAGTTATAGAATCTTCCTCAGGTGTTGGGGTGCAAATTGAACCTGCCGATTTTGAAACGGAGGTAGTTGCAAACGAGCGTAATTTGTTGGGTCTTGGACTAACTTTGACGGTTTGAAATTGGGGCTGGTGGCGGCAGCATGAGTTCGACGCAGGCGACGGCGCAGCCGTGGGGAAGCTCGCCAGCGTGAACATTAAACATACATAGCAAAGCTACCTACGGATACCCGCGGCGAAGAAGTATATGGTGGTGGCCTTTAGATCCCTTATCCTATTTTGAATTTAATTTTGCAAACGTCAATCTCAAAGTGAAATAGTGCGTCGTATTTAGCTTTTATAAAATTATTCTCAAGTTTTATGTCATTGTTTGTTGTCAAAAAAAAACATCATATATTTGAACGCTTTTAAAATATTTTTTTCTTCGTTCAATTTATTCAACCTTGTAGCTATTTTGTTGCAAATGAACAAGTAACATTTTCCTGCACACCGACCGAATTAATTTTGTCTTGTAGCAAGTGCATTTCACATGCTATTTTAAGGCATTTTGCAATGCCTTTCTATTCAATGGGCTAACTAGTACGGCTAGTTTTCGTGGTGCCTTCTATGATTTTATTTCACTGTATTTAACAAGAAATCATGTGCAAGTATCAATGGATTTTTCGGGAGACTCGTCTAACCTTTATATCGATTTTCATATTCATTTTTATTGCTATTGATGAATTTTACTTGACTAGAATTTTTTTTTTTAAATTATCATTTTTGTCCTTGTAAGATAAAATAACATTGCCTTTTCACTTTACTGGTGGGATTATTATATTAAATTCAACAAACATTAAAAAAAAAAACTCCACGCTTCATGTTAAACTGTGCTTTTTGAACCATTAAAGAATATCCCACCGAGAGGCCAACCAACTTGGACTGAATATTTTTTAGTTATAATAAATATAAATACAAAAAGAGATGAATCACATCCACTTTTAGTTTTAAGGAGTGTACACTGTTGATACAATTAATAACCGAAAAGCAAAGAAAAATAAACTAAAATTTTATAAAACACGAGAGAGATGATATATATTTGTTAACATCGTAATTAAAGGTAAGAAATAACAAGAAAACCACTAGCTCATAGTTTTAACTATACAATCTTATTAACCCAAAGTAAACCTTCCTCATTATTATAAAAAAAAAAAAAAAAACTATGACCACGATTCGTTTCTCTTCCCTTCCAAATAAGAAAAATTTAGAGGAAGGATTGAGTAGAGCGAGAGTGTATTAGTAATGGTTGCATATAGCTATAGCAAGCAAGGAGAATAGATAGACGCCCCAAGAGCAACCTTTGAGAAACAGAGAAAAGGGCATTGTCATGAAATGGTAGAAAGCTGTAGTCGCAAATAAAATACCTGCCCGCTCTAGCAATTCAGATTCAGCTGGGTAATTGCTCTTTATAAATCTTCCCACGAAGAGTAAAGTGAAAGCAAGTAAAATAGCAAATGACAACAACTGGAAACACAAAGGAAGCGAATCATGATCACGGCTCCCGTTTCCAACCTGTACAAAATTAAGAGTTATCTCAACCCCTGATGTTAAACAGAATGCCATGAATAGCATCGACTTATCGATATTATTGGTTTCAGCAGCAGCAGCAACTACAGGGCTACTCTCTTCCACATCCAGCTGTAGCTCAGCTGGTTGTGTCACCGTGTTAACAGTTTCAAGGGATAAACCTACAGTAGTAGTAGGGGAGTTGGGTGACACTCCTGTAGTACTACTTCTCTCTCTAAACCAAAATACATACTTTTTGACAAAGTTTGGGAACTCCATTGGCTAGATGTGGTTCACAAATGGATGGGGCTTATTATTTATAGAGAAATCCAGTCAGCACTGAAGCAGCAAAGGTACAAATCCAACTTCCCCAGAGAAACTCCGGTCAACAAAACTCCAAAAATGATGGCGTGGCCATCATCGATGTATTACAACATAATTTATTAGCCGCTTAGCTGTTGTATAGGACAAACTACTGGGCTGATAAAACAATGCTTCCCTTCCGTATCAAATACATTCGTTATTTAGCTAATTGCGTAAAGAAATACAGTATATGTCATCATAGTTAACAATGTCAAAAAGAATGAAACCTTTTTTTTTCCAAGAATCAAAAAAAATTGATGCGAATATGATGATCTTAAGCTACAATGTAATGGTGGCAGACACTCAATTTATTACTTTTAACTATGGAGTAAAAAAGTAGTCATTACATGTATGAACAACTTCTGATAATACATTACATGTTTATCTTTTATCTTACTCTCTATTTTTTTTTATATTTGGAGAATAAAATAGACTTTTTTTTTTTTATATTTGGAGAATAAAATAGAAAAGATTATTTTTTTATTATTTATATTATATATAATTTGTAACTAACACCATGTAAGTGTAAAATTAGGTCTTAAACCTAACTCACACCTCAAAAGTTAAGGTAGCTAACATCTGATCCTACTCTAATACCATGTGAAATTAGGTCTTAGGCCTAACTCACACTCCAAACATCTCATTAACCACCGATGTGGACTTTTGCCATTCTTCAACGGTAAAACCATTAATTAAATCAAACACAATTTAATTCCTAAAACGTTTTTTAACTTTTCTTTATAGTTTTTTTTTAACGTCCAATGCCCAAGTATAGAGACGCTTAGAACCTAGTGACTGTTGAGACTGAAATCTGGAACCTAGCGAGATATTCCAAATGAATATCTGCAGCCTGTCTTCTTGTGCGTATTGTTGAGCTCACAAGCTAACAACTGTGACATAAGCCCTATTTTTCAATTCTTCTTCTTCTCTCAAGTTTAGTTTAGTGGTCAATACTACCACAATCTAAACTGCTATGCACCCTCCAGTCTAGGGTTATCGCAAGCAATAACTCTGATTCACAAATTTCAATCTTTAAATTAAAAAGAAACTCATTAATAATCATCTTTTTCCCCTTTTAACCTTCAAAGAGCTGAATACTAGATGATAAACCACACCCACTTCCTTTTATTACAATGTTTGATCAACTTGTGTGCATCTTGACAACCAACCAATTCCTACTGCCTCTTACTAGTATAGCAGCAATTAACTCTACTCGGCAAATCTTAGTGGAGGAGAGAAGGATTCAAATAAACTGAACTCCAATTAAACAAAAAACTCTCTTACTGTCTAAGAAGTGATTTAACAAGGATAAAGTAAGTTGTACTCCCAATTCAACCAAATACTATCGCTTATCTTCCGTCTCTCCTTCCTCACGATTCATAAGAAACTGCATTTTAAAGTCAAGGATCTGGATTGAAGTCACAATGTGATATGAGCACATTAACCATGTGACTTCCGGATATGGTGTGCAGACTTCATTAGCCTGAAGTAATATCAGGTGGAGAAAGCAACCGCAATTGATTACCCATATTCTTCTGCGAAATGAACTGATGAAGCTATAGCTATATACCTGTTCTAAATATCAAACTACCTCTCCTATATTTTCCTCTAATAACCATATACCATGACCAAAAGAATACATGAAAGTTATCTACACCACACTCCTTGAAAGCAGTTGACAACTACTGAAAACACATAACATGAGGATAGTTCTCTTTCGTCATGTTATGAAAGCTTTCTAGTTTCTCTTAATCCATATAGGCGTAGTGGAGTGATAAGTGTTCCTTCATTCTCAACCAAAGGTCTCGGGTACCGAGCCCTCGATAAAGAGTCACCTTTTATAAGGAGCAATTTATCACCCAATGTGGAGCTCCAGGACGCGAATTCGGATTTGGTTGGGCCCCGAAGAACGCCAGGTGGGAATCCTAAAAAAATTAAAACCGTGCTCTACCTCTATGCACAAAGCTTGAGCCTTGAAGCAACAATAGTTCTACTGCATTTACAAAAAGAAAGGAGTTGGAGAAACAGATAATGAGAATGTTCCACTTCTAAATTGTAAATCTGTATTTTTTACATGGCCGTTGTCACAATGGATCTATCTGTTCAAACAGAATGACTCATACGGAAGTGCAAAGTGGAATTGTTTCGAAGTTACAGTAGTTGTATATAACAGAATGTCATGATACTAATTCGTGTAGTACCTCCATACCCTTGTTGAGAACCACCCATCCTGAATTAAAATCAGCAAGAGCTCATATATACCACCCTGCAACCACTGTAACTTAATTTAATTACTCAAATAATTTTTACAAGTATTGGTAGTGCCAAATATATTTTTAGCACTATCAACTTTAAGGAAGTAAGGAAATTCAATCTTTTGTTTACCACCTATCTATTTGTTTCACTTACTCACCGACCCAAGATTTGAAACAAAAACATATCGGAAGTTCTATACTGAAAACAAGGAAAGGAAGTAAGTACCTGATTTTTTGCTTTTGTCCTTAAGTAGACATACCGAATTCTGCATCCTCAACAAAATGTAAGATCCTTGTATGAACGTTGTGCTTGAGCAAATAACAAAATGAGATATTTCTGATACAACAGCAGCAGACAGCCTTTGACTTAGAAGGAACTGAGGCAATCTTTTATCAACAAAAACAGGGGATTGGTATAAGCAGCTGCTCCTAATTTCTCAAACATGACGCCGTCCATACGGGCTTGGATCCCATCAGATGATGCCACATCATTTAGCAACTCTTTTAAAGTTCTATCTGCTCCGGCCAAAGAGCTTCCTATGCCGCTTAAAACTTCTGGTAAGGACGTGGATGGCCTTGACAGCTCAACAACAGAAACCTGCAGTTTTAACAATTTATTAGGAAGACCGAGAAAGTTATCTCCTCTACAAATCCCTTCAAAAAATATAGAGACTGAGATGAACATACAAACAAAAAAAAGGAGGAACTAACCCGATATATTGTTTCAACGGTATTTTTCTTATCAAATCAAACTTTATCGCCTCTGACTACTTTTTCAGTAACCAATGATAGAAAGCAGCTTCCAAGATTTGTTAGGTATTATTACCACTAAACTAGTTGGGCATCAAACATCATCAATTCATCATGCATTTCATTTTTCTGAACAGAAGACCCTGGGATGAGTACCATAATGGTTCACATCTGACTATGAAGACAAAAACTATTATTCAGATTTCCAAAATGTGGCACAAAAACAAAGCTAAATCTGCTGTTTGACCACAGCACATACTGAAGTATCTTGCAGGTAAAGTCGTGAGTGGTCCATTCTCAACTTCTTCTTTTTTGATAATTCGTAAAAAAGGAAGTTGAGAGAAGACTATTTCTATGATGTAATTTTCTCAGGAATTCTCCTTTGACTACATATCTCACTTCATGTTATCTCAAAAGTTGTGGCAACTTCCTCATCTTTCTACTTTTTTATTGATGACAGATGCAGCTGAGATTTTCTATAACTTGGTTTTGGCAGGAAAATTCACCAGCTCTCTTAGAAGATCAAGAGATTCGGATCCTTAGGTTCCCAACAGAGCTCCAAAATTTCACTAGAATGACAGTTGACAAAGATCCAATGCATAAACTGATATACAGACTTGAAAATCATGCTTCAGGCTGCAGAGCACTACAATCTATGTGCTCAGACTGAAATGGCTGTTTTAACAGCAAAAATAGATTTACTTATGACACACCTGTCTATCCTGAGGTATATTGGCCTTCTGTTTTGCAATTGCTACAGCACGAGAGAGACCACCGACAGCATCAACTAGACCTCGTGAAAGAGCATCCTTTCCAGTCCAAACTCTCCCTTGTGCAACCTCCTCCATTTTATCCACCTAAATGGAGTGCTTGGTATTTTCAATCAACTGATAAATAAAGTAACGACTGCTTTCTTCTAAGCTGTCTTCTTTACCAAGTATCATACCGTCATTGATCTTGAAAGGGCAGCCTTGTCTCGGAATTGGGTATATGCATGCTGTGCAGATTTGGCAAACAGTTCTGCTTCCTCAGGCCTACAGATGAAGTTCTATCTTAGAAAATACTAAATCAAAAGACAATCTAAAATCCAAGATTTGGATTTTCATTTGTAGGCTTAAAACAACTAAACTCGAAAGCCACAAAGCGAGAACCAACTGGATGCATTAGTAGAAGTGGAAAAGTTCTGATTTTGGTGTTAGGCATAAGAAGTTATGCTAGTCTCTAAGATCAAAATTCAGCTTGTTATAAAGAGCAGTAACAACAGAAGGATGTAACATAAAATTCATGATAGAAGTTTATGTTCTTATAATGGGGTTCAAGCCTTCTAGGTGTAACATGTATAACCCAAGGAAGACGAAAAAAGTTCACCTGAATGGTCGTTGTTCAGCCGCAGTAAGCTCTGCATATCTTCCCCTTGATATTGTCTCCTTATTGAAGCCAATTTTTTCATATAATTTTCCCAAGTTGAATTTCCCTGTTGTAATTTTTAAACATTGAATCTGATTTAGAAGTTTGCTTGGGCATACATGTGAAATAGCATAGCTAGCTCATAAGGTCAATTCCAACTTTGAAGACCTCATTACAAGTAAATTTTGTGAAGATTAAGGACCAAAACAACTAAATGTAAGGGGCATGCAGCGGCAGAATAGAGGACTTCCAGGCAGTGCAGAAAGGAACAGAAAACCCAGAGGAACCAAGAAACGGATAAACTGCAACTATAAAGGATTGACACTCGTATTAAAGCAAATACATGAACCAACATAAATATGGAGTAAACCAAAGAGTTGCCTCTCCCACAAACCAAAATCTTAAAGAGTTCATCAAGATACCAGATCAACTCAATCACCCTATTTGCAGGAAGACAGAAAGGCATACACTCTTACACACACACCAAAGAGAGTTGTCATCCCAATTTTACAGATATCAGTCCAAGCTCTTCGGATCTAGAACTGTGAAGACAAATCTGGTTCAAAAAAAAAAATCTGAGAATGACGTGTTAAGATGAAATTGGCGGCATCAGGAAGTGGGTGGGTGAATGGCAACGTTGGGAGTAGGGAAAGGTCCTAGTGAAGAGATACAAACAAGGAATCAACCTCTGAGCTACCTTTTTCTAATTATATAACCTACCTGTAAGAAACAGTTAGTCCTCTGTCTTAAATTGTTAGTCATATTTTTGTTTTTATTTTTGACATGACATGTTATCTTGTGAAACAGTTCTTCAATTCCCACATCAGGCTAATTACATGGACAAAGCATTAATATAGCCTCTTCCTGAAATGATTATATCATTCGATAGTTGGAATTACCTCCTAATACCTTCTTCAGTTCCAGAGCTTGAGACAAATTCTGTTATTCCATTCAATATAGAACTATCTAGTTACACTTCAATATATTTTGAGCTGGTACTAAGTGGATCTAAATATGGTATACATTGAGAAGGACTGACTATTTGGAAAATTAGAAGAATCTTGCACCCTCATGATACAGTTCTATGGCATAACCTGAAGTGTGTAAAATAAATATCAGTACAATCAGCCTTACAAAGAGCACCAAAACTGATACAAGAGCATATAGTTGAAGCATGTGTTCTGAATTTTTGTACTTGGGAGTGATACCTTATTGAATGGCACTCAAAAGGAGAACATTTTGATTAATTCTCAGGTGAAGATAGTATAGGATTTTGGAATCAGATAAGATTCATTTATGCAAGGGATCATTGACCACATTATGGATCCCAGTAAAGCAAGCACAAAGTTTTCAAAAAATTTATACCACACAAGGAAAAACACCTGCCATTCAAGATACAAATGTTTTTTCCTTAAAATCTTCCTTTGAAAGATAGGAAATTGTGGATAGTTCAACTGGTGGTCTAACATGAGTAGAAACCTTCGCCAATTTGGAGATAACAAACAAATCTGATCAATTGATTTCCAATCCACACTTCTGCACTTTATAAAATGTATCCTCAGCCCACACGTGAAACATTTAACTTTTTTCTTTTTGTTCTTTTGCTAAAATAAAATTTTATCCCGAAACCCTCAGACGAAAAAAAGCAATCCGACCAACTAATGATGAATAATCCAATAAAAATTGAATTGTGAAGCCAAAGAGATATGGACGATGAAAGAAGCATCAATTACACACAACCAATTGAGTTCTACAATTTTTCTTCTAAAACAACTAGGATTAATGGAGTTCCTGAAGAGCACAGGTCATTCCTGAAAAGCAAGGTGATGCTTTCATGTGGTTGAGAGCTGTTTCTAATTCTTAAAAATGGATGGTAAATTTAAACTACATTTCAGTTCCTGAATTATGTTTGGGTTCAAGTTATACAAACGTATCTCTTTATCAGGTACAAACTTTTGGGAGCTGATATATCTGTGCAGAAGTCATCTTGCTAGTGCAAAAATACAAGAACTAAAGCACAGTACACCACATATATGAAACATAAGGTTCTTTGGAAAATGATTCCAGATCTGAAATTAGCACCTTAATTGGGTACCACTCAACCACAGTTTATAGAAGACAAAAATTCGTTGTAGTATTTAGATTTACCTGTCACCACACCTATTGAGCCTGTCAATGTAAGGTTCTCTGCCACAATAGCTTGTGCAGCCATTGCCATATAATATCCTCCACTGGCTGCCACATCAGCCATAGATGCTATAACAGGTTTAGATTCTGCCAGCAATCTAATTTCTCTCCACATTCTGTAGTAAAAAGCATCCTAATAAATCAACATAGAATTTGGTCCGAAAAATAAAAATAATGTTTGTCAGAGTCTACACTACAGAAGCTTTTACATGTGGAAAATAGATTGACTGCTTTGAAGACAGGAAAACATCACGTTCCTATTTTACAAGCTGATTTAACTAAAGTATCATGGGAGCACACAAACAGCAGATAAGTTAAGATTTCCATTGTACAAGACAATCAATTAAAACAGTTAGGATCTTATGTTAATAGTTTACCTAAAAAATAGTTAGGACTCTATATATCTGAAAGAAGAGATATAAATGCAACAATCATACAAGTTACAGAGAGAAAATTTAGACGGCAAAGTGACTCCTTACATAGTGCATAAAAAGGAAAGATCCATAACATAACAGGACTTACAAATCAGAAGCAAGAGCGTCTCCTCCAGGGCTATCAATTCGAAGGACGACAGCTTTAAACCTTTTCGACTCTGCACAACATAGAGACACACATGAAAAACAATATAAAGAAGAAAATTGGCAACCAAAAGGAATAACCTAAAAGCACGGAGACCACCTAAACCTATCAAAAGCTTTTTCCTCCTTTCATTTTTAAAATCTACACACAGAAGCATCCAAATCTGCTGTGATTTGAGAGTTCACCAATGAATAGTCCCCTCCTCTCAAACAGGAGAGAGAAAGGGATGAGACGAATATGGGAAATCTTGCACCCTAATATCTCTAATGAAACAGCACATGCACGAGTCTTATTGAACTGTTCACTGACTCCCATTAGTTACCTGAAAAATTTACATACTGTTCTTCTAGCATAACTTATGTAGCTTATAGCCAGTTCATGCATTAGACGGCAAAAATAAACCTGCAACTACCACTAACCAAACTGGCCTTCCCATCTCTAAGTTTTACTATTAAGTCTGAAAAAGAAGAAAAATTGAATATGAAGTGTAGCACTTTGCTTATTCAATCAAATCTCTAGCAACATAACAGTGACAAATTCCTCACAAGAGTCTTTCTCCTTCATACTAAGCAAAAGCCTATCAACAATACAAGTCTTTCCACAATATGAGTTGGAAACAAAGCCAAAGAGAACAAAGCAAGAAAGAAAGTATCCAGAACTGCGCAGAGCAGATAATGCCTTGTGTCTGCGAAGTGTCTTTCTGAGACTAAAAAACTTGGTATTCACGATATATGGCTAATCAGGATTTGTAATGACCTGTTTTCACATATTTTGACAGCTTGACAAAGTGCACATATAAGGACACTTCATACCTCGTACACTACGAATTTTTTCAATCAACTTCTCTGCTATTATTCCTGAACTAGATGAACTAAATGGACCGCGTGTGCGACTAATACTTCCGGAGGCTCGAATGACAGCTATCTGGTCTTTATAACCTGTTAGACCGAGAGTCCATCTCCTAACTTTTGAATACTTCCTGTATCAGAATATAATAATCACAAAATGTTAAAAGTTCCAAAGGGAAAATAGTGCATAACAGCTGAGACAAAGAATATGTGGAGAGACAATACTAGAATACATGACAATTGATAGTTGGCAAAATCTCAAAATCGAACTGATACAAGTTATTACACTTTCCTTTAGCCGCCTGGGATGTTTTTTCCGTAAAATTACATAAAATATATTATTTTAAAGTATTGATGTTCTCTGAAAATTCCAGGGCCATTAATTAGTCCAAGCATAAGAAAGAAGTGTCATGAAAAGCAATGTACATAATAATTGTACAAAACTATTGCTGCAAAATAAAAAAAATAAACCCTGAGAAAAATTATCCAGGTGACTTGAAATTCAAAAAGACAAGACCTGTAATCAACTTCAGGGAGATTTTCATCCTTGGAAATTCCCAAACGCTCTTTCAACATTGACATTACCTGAGGATATGCATAAATTAGTGATTCCTTGATAACCATGGGAGAAAAGGTGTTAAGTTCTTATGTCAAGTTCAAGAAATAATTTAAGCATTTTTATGGCGGAAGTCATAAAATCCAGATGGCCAGATACACAAATGAAACAAACTATTTAAGCTTAATACATACAAGATAATCCAGAGATTAACAGTGCATGCCAATCTTGTTTTCAAGGCAAAGATACTAGTATACAACTTAGTTGCTCTCGATATAATCACATAAGGACCTGCAATACAGATGTCTGACAAATACTGACTGTCTAATCATTAAAAGGATCTTTTAACTTCAGCTGATTTCCAAGATTTCATCCATAAACTAAAATCAAGATAAGAGAAAAGGTGAAAACACTGGATACAAAGGGTATATCATCATAAGGCTGTAAGAGGGTGCATAGATTGTGATAACCTGTGCAGCTATCACTTTCTTATATATAGAGTTCGCTATATCCCACACTTTCATCGTTCCCAGTAACAGTTCAGGAAACCTAATTTGGCAAGGTTCCAATTTGGACGTTGTTTTTTTGAACATTTTAATCTAGATTTGCAACACTTGGGAACTAGATAAAACATATTATATACTCCCTTCATCCCAATTTATGTGGCACCATTTGACTAGGCTCGGAGTTTAAGAAATTAGATACTTGTGTGATTGTCAATCATCTCATTAAGTTAAATTGTTTCTAAATATAAAAAATGTGACATTATTTTTGGGATAGATTAAAAAGGAAAGGGTGTCACATAAATTGGTACAGGGGGAGTACAAATTTTTATAGACAAAAAAATCCAAAAAATATATCTAAAAATTGTGGTCAAAGAAAAAGATCTTTGACTACATAACAAAAATAATAGTGTCATATAATCAACATTCCATGAACAAAAGAATAATATCATACATACAAATGCAAAATTCTTCATTTAAATTCTAATAAAGAGAAAGAGGTAAAATCATCCTAGAACTCAAACAGAATGGTCACATGAAATGGCACATACAAGTAGTTGTCTACATCCTTTTCCTTTATGATTTTTAAGAATTGATTTTCCCTGGAAAAGAAGTAAATCCATTACCAATCCTAATTCATTTGAAAAGTAACCCCTCCCCTCCCTCACACCAGAAAAAAAAAAGAATTCACCTAATAAATCAGTTGAACTTACAAATAATCAAAGAACTGTTTCTCAAGTAATACCTCAAGATACCTAGCAACTTACTATACCTCATCATCGTACTTTATGTCTGTTATCCAGCTTTCTTCCTTTAGCCTTTCAACTTGGTAGACTCCATCATTAACGAACTGCTCAATGTCTTCTATTTTCTTCCCTGAGTAAGAAAACAGATCATGAAAATCCCCACTGGACTTCAAATCTCCAGTATGAAGTTCAAATCTGAAGTCACCTTTAGTAAGAGCAACTTTTTCAAGCCAATTTCCATATATATTATCAAGTAATGCAGTTAGCATCTCCCGATTTTCATCAGATATACTTTTACGCATTAGTTGATCTCCAGCACTTTTATATTTACCAATTCTTTGCACTTGTGGCTCAATTCCAACTTTCTCAAAGACACCTGCAGAGCAATAAATTTGCTGCAGCTAAGGGCTGATCATAAGCAATTGAGATCACATATGCTCTGGAACTAGCTATATACAATTAAGAAGCATTGTTCAACAATTTCAGGCTGCATTCACGCATACTCTGAAACCCTAGTAACACTGGCTAGCAAATTCCAGCAACTTCAAATTTAAATAGGTTTTGCTTTTTGCACTTTCACTTAAATTGATGAAAAATAACCATTACTGCAATGATGACCAACTCAATATTCCAAAGAGGTAATTAATCCATACATTCAAGAACGAACAGAACTTAGCACATCTGATATTTAAGAGGAACTTATCTCTCCAAAAAATATTTTGTTTCAGCTGGGAGGCTAAAGAACTAACCTCCCAAAAATGATGCTTGAACTGTTAAACCATACAACGCAAAGTAAGCACTTGGAGGGACATAAAGCTCTTGACAAGCGCAGCCAATGTAGTACTCCTTTTCACCACAAGCAGGTGCATAGCCAACTATGAATTTACCTGAAAAATGACAAAGATTAACGCTCTTCTTTACTTTTATATTTCCCAATTCTAGATTTTAAAACAAAATGGATCTCATATGGCACTCCTTAAACATAAGAAGCTTAATTAATCCAAGTAACTTTCAGTCTATACAACATATACTCATTTGAAACTTAGATTTGTTGTGTGATTAGATACCTCAGCTGCAACTGCAAAGGAAAATACCATAACATGATGATCCATAATAGAGAGATGGCCTCATAATCCAAGACATGATAAGGTAGTGACATTGATCATTTTATTTAGCATTTTACAATGAGAAGGTAAGGAAGATAATTTTTTTTAGCATTGCGTAATATTTTCTCCTAGTGTCTTTAAAGTTTAGGTTTCTTATAAGATGGTTTTTTAGTCTAATATTCATCTTAACTGAGATATTGCATTATCCCAGTCTCATGACTTAGGAGGTCCTGAAATAGGCGCATACTCCAAGATGCTCGACATACTTGAAGACTTATCACACATGTTGTGTGAGATGTATAGAAAGGGCCAAAAAATTGTCATTCATATGCATTTAAGAATTGGGACTAGTTGGCACAGGATAAGATGGGGAATCAGGACTACTAGACACATGGTTAGTTTTCCATTAAATCATACAGGAATGGGAAGGGTGTAATTTTATTGTTCCTCAAAGAAATGAGCCAAAACAGAAAGGAGTACTAGATTCTAGTATGTTGATCTTGCATAGTTCTGACAGCATCCAGATTAAACAACTCCCAAGGACCTTAAAATTCCCTTCACCTCTCAAATTAGTTCATGACAGTTTTCGGCATTGATCTCAAATACTCATTTATCTTATTTAAATATCCTCATCATATAGGGCTAAGAATATGATCTCCCCTCCAGTCCCTCAGGCTAAAAGTTCCCAAAGTACAAAAAGGCTTATATATAAGGATACTTTTCATCTATTCACTACGTCCTTGTTTTTCCAAATCCTTCATGGATCAAAATATCTTTCTTCCCTGGTTCAAATTCAACCCTACAAGCTTTATGCAGACAGACATAACCAAATGTCATCCTTTTCCTCTTTCCAAAGTATGATACTTATAATCAAGTGACAAGCCCATGAACCTTTTCGGATCTCACCATTTCATAAAAGTACAAAGACGAATTCTTGCCTGATTTCCTGAAGTCCAGTATATGCCTCCGAATTTCTTCAACTTTGCCCCAGCCACAACCTAAAGGTTCAATGTGGAGATAAACACCAGAGATTCGAGGATCATAAGCGGCCTTCATGAGGTTCTCACAAATTTGAGGTAGGGATAATCCTGAAGAGAAACGGCTCTGTAACTGATCAGATATCTGAGAGGACAAAAAACAGTGCAAGAGTTCAATTACCTCAACTAAACAGAGAAGAAATATCTGAACAAGAATTAGCAAATTAAAAGTATTATGTGCCGATAAATGTGTAACTTCCCATTCTCTGCCTCTCTATTTAGCTACACTTAGTAATTTGATCATAATTTTACCCTTTTAATGATCAGATGCAAAACCAGAGGACAAGGAAGGAGCAGAAGAAGATTTGGAAGACCATCCTTCTTTGCATTATGTAGACTGTTTGGTTGGAAAGGAAGCAAGGGAAATGTTGTAATACTTAACAATAGATGCATTCAGAACTTAAGATTTTGGTTAATGCTGATTTTTCACTTCATTAGGGGTCGTTTAGTAGAGTGCATTAGCAAAAATAATATTTGCAACTTGCATTAGCTTTAAATATTAGTAGTCCCTTTTTTGAATTTTTAACCAAACTAAGTCATTATATAAAACAATTTACCAAAGTAATACATTTTTCTAAAATTTTACAAAACTAGTATAAACGTATTTCATGGTAACGTTTTAGGGTATATTTTATTTTTTAAAAACTAACAGCATTAGGTTGATATACGTCACTGTAAGTAACGTTTTACTTTTAAAACGTTATTTTCAGTAACGTTTTACTCCTAAAACGTTACTGTGAGTAACGTTTTAGGAGTAAAACGTTAATGTGAGTAACATATATCAATCTGACGCCATCAACTTTTAAAAAATAAAATATATGCTAAAACGTTACTGTGGAATACGTTTATACTAGTTTTGTAAAATTTTAGAAAAACATATTATTTTGGTAAATGACTTTATATAATGGCTTAGTTTGGTTAAAACCTCCCCTTTTTTGGTACACTTTTTCTAGGTATAAGTAATGTAAAGGGATTTAATACATGCATTAGCATGGTTAAAGACTCAATTACCCTCAAAAGCCACTTGTACATCTTTTCCACCACAATTGTAGAAGATATATTATAGGGAAAAGGGTCTGATATACTCTTCAACTTTGTCATTTATAGCTGATATAGCCCTTGTTATGAAAGTGGTTCATATATACCCCTACTTGTAAACAAATGGCTCACATATACCCTTTTTCTCTAACGGAAATGAAAAAAAAAATTAATCTAAATTTTTATTATTTTTTTCTAAAAAATATAATCTCATATGAGTAAATTTAATCCTCGTCAAACATATTTTTTTTTGTCTTTTTTTTGTTTCAATGACTAATTTATAATCATTATTTTGATAATCAAATTTATTTATGTTTCACTAATATTCTTGTAAAACTTATTGCAAATGACCAAATTTTTTCTTCGAATACGAAATTAAATTACAATACACACAAAAAAAATAGTTAATTTTTTTTTCTTTAAACTAAGGAATGAAAGAAAAAAACAAAATAAAAATAAGAAACTCAAATAATTATAATAAAAGAAGTCAAAAAAAATATGAAAAAAATTAAATATACCTTTAACTTTGATAGAAGAATCATATATAACCCTAAATAATTTTTTTTAAAAAATTACAAGTAATAAATATAAATTTAAAACTAATTTTTTAACTTCCGTTAAATAAAGGGTATATGTGAGCCATTTTGTAACGGCAAGGGTAATGTGAGCCGTTTGTAGAACGGTAGAGGCATATATGAGCCACTTTTATAACGAGGGGTATATCAGCTCTAAATGACAAAGTTGAGGGGTATATCAGACCATTTTCCCTATATTATAAATAAATATTTTTATACAATGCATATTATTTTTAATACACCAAACCAAACAATGAATAGGAAAAAATACATGCATAACTAACGCGAGCATAACTAATACAAACATTACTAATACACTCTATTGAGCAATATTTTTATACACTCTACCAAACGACCCCTTTCAGATATAAAAGGATCCATGGCCAGCTTTTCTGCATTTTGTATCTGCACCGTAATATTCTAGTACTATGTTTCAACAATAAATACCTAGTGTAGCTCCATTAGGTGGAGTTTGGGGAGTTTAGGATGTACGTAGACCATACCCCTAACTTATGTAGGTAGAGAGGTTGTTTCGAAGACCCCAGCCAAATACAAGAACATACCAAATGAAAGAAATAAAACATGTTTAGTACTATGCTTCATCACAAAAACTACCTTACCAAAATAATGATCAGATGCACCAGAATTAAAGTTAATGACACTCTTCGTTCTAAAGCATGTATATACTTGCATATTGCAAATTCAATTGGATAACAAATACTGCAGCTCATCATTAACTCTGTGATGCATTGGACAAAGGTTGTCACAGGCACGAGTTATAATTCTATTCGAAAAAAATCACTACACTATTTTTATACACATAGGAACTCGCAGGAATTCGACATTGCTAACATGATTACTAAAATTTTCGATCTATATTTAAATATCAAATAGCTCTCAGTACTGACCTCATTGCGCAATTTCATGGTGAGAACACTTCCCTTGCGGACTCGCTCCCAAGGAAGCGTAAAGAGCATTCTAAACTTCACAACTAAGCTCTTCCAAACACCATACTCCTCAAATTCGAATTCCCCGGTTGGATACTGATCTTCTTTCGCAATATCATCGGCTTTGATTTCAGCAACAGGCTCATCCTTAGTCGATGATACGTCCTCATCCTTAGTGTCACCTTTGGAAGACGGTGATACGTCCTCATTCTTAGTGTCGAAGGCTGAAACGGAGAAATTTCGATGAATATGGGAAGGGTTATCGATAGAGCGAAGGGTGAGGAGAGGAGTAGTGTAGAGGGAGAAAAAGAGGGAATTTGAGTGCAGAGAAATGGGGAAAACGGTGGGAGAAGAGTGAATTGCAGAAGAAGAAGAAGAAGACTTGGAGAGACTGGAAGCGACTGTGAGTTTGTGAATGGAGGTCAGACGAGGTGTGGATAAAAGCTTCGCCATTCTCTCTTACACTATTTTTCTGCTCTTTTGGACTCCGTCGGGATGATATGGAGAAATCAGACTTCCCCAGTATTTGAACGCGGTTCCCTAAGCGCCACGTAGTCCTGAATTTTAAATTCTTTGCACAAGAGGGTTTGCAGATTTTTTGAACCAATATCTCTGATACTCCCTCAAATATTCTTTATTCACTCAAAAATTCATCCACTTTTAATTTTTTTTTCAAATATCTCCTCTTTTCTTTATTCAAAAAGTCACTTGACTTTAAATTAACTCAAAAGTTATTCAACATTCTATTTATTCCTAAAAAAAAATACTTAATTATTCAGTGTTTATTCGAAAAAATACGCAATTTATTTAATTAATATTTTTTATGTATAAATTATATTTATTTGAATCATTTAATGACCCGTCCATTTAAACAGACCCATTAATAATACAATGTTTGCCAATTTTATTTTACCTCATTCTTCTAGCAAGGGGATTTTCTTGGGTACACTAATCTCTTCAATTGATTCAGTACACATTTAATTTAAATATATTTATCAATTTTAAAATCTAATGGTCCATATTTATTTAAATAAAGTAACCTTTAAACCATAATTATATGAACTCTAGTTAGTAATTCTTTCTCTTCAATCTTTTCTTGTTCTTTTTACGGGAAACAACATTCCTATCTATAAAGGATTTCTTCATTAAGGAAATTCAATTGTACAAATTTAAACTACGAAATTTATTTTTTTGTACTTTTTTCACCATTATCAAAAAAAGAATTATTATTTTTTACTATTATCAACCGAAGATTACTTTTTACCCTTCTAAAGCACTTTAGTAAAAGCATATAACAAGATCCAAATATATGCATTTAGGTTATGAAATTATACAAATCCAAATAAGAAGATTGCATTGAATTCGTTTGATGGTTTAGTGACTTAATGAGAAAAAATGGATTATTGAATGACTTTGAGTTAGAAATTCAAAGTTTATGATTTTCAAAGAAAATAGTGGATAGTTAAGTAATTTTTTGAAAAAAAATAGTGAATAGTTAAATGACTTTTGAATTAAAATTTAAAGTTGAGTGACTTTATGAATGAAGAATACAGAATTAAGTAACCGTATGAGATATTATTTAGTTTTTTTTTAAAAAAAACTTACCAATTTGAAATAAGCTTAATTTGAAATTGAAGTTTTATTCGAAGTACTTTTATTTGAATCTCAATGACTAAACATGAAAGAACCATGATTTATGAAAGTATCAAATTTCTACATTCTCGTAATCTAGCCGAATGAGAAAATCATAATTTATAAATGGAAGTGTCAAAATATTTTAAGACATGCCACATAAATGGCATATCTCTAGCTAGTATTATTATATAAATACATAATTGTAACTATATGTTGTTTTAAAGTTTTAAGATTTATATAGTTTTACGTAATTCTTTGATCTAATAAAATGGAGTAGCTACTTAATTCTTTAATATAGTCTTTTCCACATTTACAATTATACGATTCATGATTGCCAATCATTCACGTTTGGTTTCATAAAGGCACAAACGGGATGATGTATGAATTCGATCGGTTTTATTAGATTTCATGGAATCATAGAATCTATGCAACTCTACTTGGAGAGAAAATCAGTGGAAGATAGAAGAAGAGGAAAAAATATTATGGATTAATTACACATCCTATTTATAGAAATCACACATTTGAAACAATAATTGGTTATAACTAACTAACAATCAGTCTCACCTCTTTCTTTGACAGATTGCTAATTACTGCCATAACTACTTTTTGTACACTTTAATCATGTGATTCCAATAGATCTAAAGATTTCACTCATACAACAGAAGTGTTAAGAGTTTCAATACACAAAGAAACCAAATAGGCAGCTGTTCACCTGAACTCTTGATATGAAGATACTTTTTAACTTTTTTTTCTTGGAACATGGTTAACCAGAAATTACGTACTATGGTGGCGATTTCTCATCCACCGATGGGTAAAGGAGTAGAAACTACCCTCAGCTTCAAAAAATGAATTCCTCCAATTTTAACATAAAAAACAAGGCAGTGAGTGTACAATAGAACAACTATATATTATTTGTGAATAAAGCTTGTACGCATCCATCCATCAGACATGGCACTACAAACAGGACGAAATCGTTAATCCTCCATAGACATGGCTCAATCGTTCGATCTAGATCAAGTGATAAGATTTCAACTCACGAAGAAAGCTAAACTCGATAAATGGTCATTAAATAGATATCTCCAAATAATTCATTTACTTTTCTGAATAATAAGGTTATTTCAAACCATGGCCAAAGAAAGCTTAATATCTAATGCAATTGGTCAGGTCAATGACACTCAAGTAGATATCTCCAAACTGATTGTGTACTTGAAATATCGAAACAATGTCTTACAAGTCAGATCAACCACGAATGAGGCAGAAATTAGCTCAATTAACATATATGAATATTAGTAACTTACTCCAATTTATGCATTAACCATCTTGAAGTAGAAGTAGAACTCATCTGGATTTTCGAAATGCTGCTTTTTCCTTAAGTTTCTGTAAATCAAATAAAAGATATCATAGTACATTTATCTTATCTATAAAATGTAAACGATAGTGAGGACAGGAATAATTGACTAATTGCAAAACATAATCAATGACACTGACGTAGCTAGAAAATTCACGAAAAGTGTTCAAATTAAAGCCAAAATGAGTAATTGCATAACACAACTTACATTCAACGAGGTCTTAACTCTGATCTCTTCTTTATATAAATATAAATAAATATTTATCAAATAACTTGTATAATAAGAAAAGATGTAGCGTTTTAAAAATAGCACACTAATATTACTAGCTACTATGATATTTTTAAAAATGAAGGCATACTCCTTTGGGACCTCTTAGACTTTGACATCTTTTATTCCCTTCATATTTAATTTATCTCCTAATTATCCTCGTATATTTAGCTAGCTTGGAAGCTTTCACCCCCTAAACGATTTCAACACAAAAATATGTGATGCACTAGTTATCACGTGAATATTTTTTGTCCCCTTCATATCTCTAAAATTATAATATATATTTTTGGCTTTTTGAGTCTATTAATCCTGTCGGATAATTTTTTAAGGCCAAATTTATAAAAAAAATCATGGAACAAATTGCTGCACCCAAAGAAAAAAACAAGTAAGAAGAAATACATATACTATATGGAACAAATAAACCATATATTGTATATAATTATGTGATAACTCTAGCTGCTCGGAAGAAACTTTATTAATTTTTTTTTATCCGTATTCCATACCCCTTCACCGCAACGTTGTTACACTCTTGGATTTTCCCTTTATCGGAAAATAACAATATTTATACATGATTAAATTTATTTTTTTTAAATATATAAAGTATACGCATATTTTTGTGTTTACTTTGATTCTGTCATGTTGTAGATAAATGTCTAGGCTAGAGCTAAAGCTATAAAAATGCCATTAGTTAATTAATTAGGACAAAAATATTTAGGTGTACCTAATAAGAAGTAGGTCCAAAACAAGAAACTAAAATTAAGGTTTGAAAGAGATATTTAAAAGAATTAAATGAAGATGAGGTTCCAACTCCGTTTGAGAAGAAGCATTTCACCGTTGGAACGGGTCCAGAAGTGGGCACAGTAGACACAAGGGATGTTGTTAGGCATAAGTGAAGTCATTCTCAACAGGGAACATAAGCCCCTAAAACCCAAACGGGGTTTCACAATCTATGTCCCCCCGCTACACCCACTAGGTAGCCAAGTTTGAGCCAATTATGAATATAAATAATGTGATCGATGCAAAAAAAAAGGCCAGCCAGCATCATTGATATGATACTCACATGCAAGTAGCCAAAATTAAAGGTACTTTTGGGCCTTTTGATTTTTGTCCAATACAGTGAAGATGTGTCCCAATGACATGGAGTCTGGCCTTCCAGGTTCTTCTGAGCTCACATTTATTAATAAGTACTCTCCACACCTGCATTAGTGCGCAACTCCTCTTCTCCGCTGGTTTGATTGTTACTGCTCATCCCTTCATTATATTCTATTCTTCGTCGTTTTCTCACTTTAATATTTTCATACTTTATATACGTCACAACACACTATATATTAATTACAAACTAGTAATGAATACGTTATATTGTATTCAATCAGCTCCTATATTATCTACTTTTGACTATACATCTTTTGATGATAATACACGTACTACACGCTACTTGACAATGATAACTTATCTATCTCTACAAGGTATAAGACATGAGCGGAGGTACCCTAGGGTATCAGAAAAATTACATTATTTTTGTATATATAGTAGATATTGGAACATGTTTTGACTTACTCGCATGTTTTACTTTTTTTATATTTTAAATCCTCTTAGTGAAAATCCTACTTTCATCACTGTAGTTTTGTGTAAACTCTATCCTCTCATCGAATCCCATTTTATAGGATTACATCAGATATGTTATTGTTACCTATCTTTGAGAACCACGCGGGTACTTTTTCCTACTTTGAGAACTCTATTATACCCGTTTTGACTTACTCATATGTTTATTTCGTTATATTTTCAATCTTCTTGATGAAAATCTAATTGCTTCCATCATCAAAGGTCTATGAATACGGTTAAAGCAAAAGGTCTCACATTGATAGTTAATGAGATGAGCAGGCTCCTTATTAGGCTTGGACAATTCACATCCGTTTGAGCTAGCTTTTATAGTCTGAGTTATGTCCAAGACCTGATAAGGACTCATCTCTTTCAATATTAGAACCCAAAATTGACCATACACCAGATGCTAAGCAATGAACCTGCCGCATAGGGTGAAAAGCAAAAAGTACATTTTATAGGATTATGCCAAATGTTTTATTGTTGCCGGTATCTTTGAGAACCATGTATGCAGTTGTTCCTACTTTGAGAACTAGTGAATATTTTTATATGAATAATTTTTTAAGATATATACAAAATTCTAATTGAAAGTCATCCGTCTCTACTTCCGTCGCTAGGCCATCTGCAGGGTTAAAGAGGTCATGCCTGCCAGGGGTTGTAGATGTAAAAAATTTAAAGGTTAAACGAATAAAACTTAAATTCTGAATTTATCTATTTTATTTATCTTTATTTCTATTTAGAATTGTCAAATATTGGATGAATGAAATTAAATTGGAGTGGGTCAAATTTAATTGAGTTAATTTGGTATATCCGGGTGTGAGTCAAGATGATTAACTAATGACTGAGTCGTATTACTCATCCAACTCTTGCCAACTTATTTAATTACACCACCAAACAAAATTAATTTTTTTTCTTTATTATGGCTTCATAAATGTTAAACGGAAAAAAATAATTCTTTTTGCCAATTTTGTCAAAAATCTATTTTAGGTACATATTTAGCTAAAATCAACTCAATTATATTTTTACATGTAAAAGTAAGTCCAAATGAATTGAATTCTTAATAAATGGATAAATTATACTATAAGCTAATCTTATCACCCTACCCGACATGAGGATGTGAAGTTAGGAAGATTTTTCCATTTATTCATGCATAAAAATATATACACTGAATTATTGATATTTCAATGATAAAAGAAAAATATAGTTTAACCGATTATAGCATGTTCTTACTCTATTTTACAAAATTATTATGCCAACTAATTAAGCTTAGTATGAAGAGTTACCTAATATGCTCATCAAAGATTGTGTGTATAGTAGTATTTAACTATAAAATTCAATATATTTACTCATTCTAGATGATTTAAACTACTCACTTCTTATAACATGTGAGAGGAATTATATAATATATCGGCGGCTTAATAAATTGATTTTATATACAAATATAATCATCGTGACACGCATGCATAAAGATTAGGTAAGGTTCCTTTGGACTTATTTTATTTATATAAATAAAAAAGAAAGTGTTTAAAAGAGGATATAAAACAAATAAACACAATAACTTTTTTGTTTTTCAATTGGCGTTTATTGTTTATATTTAAAGTCTAATTAAATTTAAATTTGTATAAAAAATATCATATTGAAAAGTTCGTTTTTTAATAAAAACGATTATGAAAGAGTATTTATGACTCCACCATAACTCTGATCGGTAACGGAACAGCTCTACATCTACCTACATACAATGTATACAAAAGTATGGTATAGAGCCAAAGGCAGCAGAGAGAAAACATCATGTTTGGAAAACACTGAAGTTACGTTAATTGTTCCTTCTTTTAATTTGGACACACACGTTATCCAGTCTGTTGACAGGTTGGGGGTCCGTTTTGGAATCGTTTTGCAACGTTCAATTAAAAAGCCCCCGCACCCTTCACAGTTAAATTTCAAATCAGATGCATGCAGGATGTTCCATCGTACCCCATGTGTAATCCTCCACGTGGAGGTCATAGTCGAGGAAATAAGATTTCTTGTCCACTTGTAATTCAAATACAAGAAAAGTATATATACTATCGAAGATTTATCGTGAAAAAAAGTTTATAAAATGTTACAAAATTAAATTTCTAGTCAAATTCACGAGAAAAAATTACTCTGATCAAAACTTCCCCAACACTTTCTTCTTGTTGAGTGTGTTTAGTACGAAAGAAAAATATATTTTGATTTTCATGTTCAGTTAATCAAAATATTTTGAAAAAATATAGAAAATAATTTCCATAAAAATGAGAAAAATTATCTATCTAAAAGAAAATTACCACATTATTTCCTCTTCGTCCACCCAAAGCTCCCAACACTTTGACATTCAATTTTTTTTTACACATTTGAGTATCTTCTAGAAGCTAAATAACCAAACAAATATTATGACGTGGTTAATGTTACAATTCTTTTTAAAATCTCTGTACTTCAATTTTCTTATAAAAAAGAAGATTTCTTTTTAAATTTTATGGCGTAATCAAATAAAGTGGAACGAACTAGTATATTATATTATCTTGTTTACCGAAAACAAAATATATTGTTTTTGCTTCCTACTGAACAAGAATAATTACACAGTATATTTCATTTTCATTGACTTGCTCCTCCTTTTATTTTGCATGCGCGCAGTGACTAGATTTTTATTTTATTCCATTTACTTTAGTTTAGGAGGAAGACCTTTAACAGATCTTGTTTGTTACACGGCTAAAAGTTTTCGATTTATGTACGTGTGATAAAAATTCTGACAAAGTCAAATCGACCAATGTGATCATTTAGCAGTTAAAAATGAGAACTGAGAACATAAATATATTAAAGGATTTATAAAATAATAAGTGTGTCATATTAATTGATTTAATGTAAATATCTTGAGCTAGTAAAATTTTATGATCGTGATAATAGTTAATGTCCCTTATGGCCTATAAGTGAACTCGCTTATTCAATGTGTTCCAAAGTGCTCGTCATTTTGCTTTAGCAGGTGTTTGAATTTTGATTAGCATTGTGATTCACTTGATTAGTTGAAATTTGGACTTGCCTGTTTATTTTGCTCCGTTCATTTTGACCTGTAAAACTTAGCTCATATATATGTTGGATTGAATAAGTTGACTAAGACAAAATCTTGTCAAAATATTTATAATATAATATTTTTTTAGTATTTGATATGTTATATTTAGTTATAATAAAGAATTTTTTTAATTTAACTTATCTCAATCCAAATAACTTTTGAACGAATTAATAATCTATTTAAATTCAAGTGTCCTACTTGATCATTTGTTCGAAGTATAATAATCATAGTTGATCAAAGAACGGTGTACCGCATAGTAGATAAACACGGTGGCTGAGGCAGAAGCCGGTTGTGGTTTGGAAGTGTCAGGGGCAGAGCTACAGTAGCCAAGGGGGTTCGATCAAACCCACTGACTTTCAATAGACTCTATATTTGTATTAAGTTATAAAATAAACGTATATATATTTCCTGCGAAGCCATAATAACTCTGAAGCATTTGGCCTAGAAGTCACCCCGCACCCGATAAAATTGTTTCTACTCGCAGAATGTATGTCCAAATTATGTATTTGTATCAAAATTTCTATTAAATATTATGTATACTGAATTTGATATATCATTCTAAAAT